AATAGTCCCATAGCAGCGTAGTGCTGTTAGTTTTAGAGGCATGTTAATAATTTCAACAGCTTGAAAGGCAGAGGTGTGGTCCTTGGTCAACTCGACACTTTATTCTTGAATATGTGTTTTGTACCAGTTTAATAACCACAAGTTGGAACAGCTTCCCAATTTCAATGAAAAAATATGTCCCAGAGATGTTTTTACTCATTTATTTGATTAATAAACCCCTCATTTATAAACTATTTCTTAGTAAACTCTGCATTGGTATTTAGGACTTAAACTTAAATACATAGTACTAATCTTGGAAAAAATAGATTCCAGGAAAGACCATAAATATAGAATAAATAAGTACTATAGAATCTTGCAGATCTTACCATAGGAACATACATGATAACGTTGCACGGTGACTGATACTTATAAAGGCATACAGGCAAGAGGGAGGCAGGGTCAGATGAGTCAGAACCTCATGTATATGATGTTGAGATTTATTCTTTTCGTTATCCAGGGGTTTTAATAAGGAAATAAAATTATTCAAAGTTCATTAAATAAAAAGAAACAAACAAACCAAAAAACATTATCTGGCAGTAGTATAGAGAATATATTCTTGGTGATAAGTTTTAATAAAGACAGATCTTTCAGAAAATTATAGCAATGGTGCAAAAAAAAAAAAAGGGATAATGAGAAACTAAATTTAGCAAAATGGCAATAGAATTTTTTTAAAAATAGGCCAGCTTAGAAAGATATTAATGTGGTAAAACTTATATGTCCCCATGACCCATTCAGTTGGAAATGATATTTTAAAAAAGAGCTTTGAAGATGACTTTCAGGCTTCTCTGACTTCCCTGATATTACTATGGAGAAGGATAGAATTAATTAGATTTCTCAAGGAAAAAAGATTGCCTTTCACATTCTGAATGTGTCTTAAACATTGAATTTTTAGTATTTATTGGCCTGTGAAAATCCAAATGCAAGTTTTTCCCGAATCAGGCTAAAACCCTGAAATCAATAAAAACCCTTCAGGGTTGTGTTAGATAAGAAAATATGTAAATGTTTTAAAAACTCTAAGTGGATATTCACATAGTGTTGTTTTTTTTTAAATTATAGCTAAACTCAGAAGAGTAACTGCTTTAACATTTATATGTGACATATACAAAAGAGAAACGTATCTTTGTGCATAGTGATATTTTATCATGAAATAGTTTCACTTACTCTAGCAGAAACTAAGTAAGCATTGTCCTGGGCATTTATACTGATATCTGCCTCAGAAGCATGATAATGGTTGAAAAATAATTTAATATAATGAAGAAAATATATAAATCTTCTGATAAAACTAAACTCCAGAAATCACATATAGCATAACACTCATTTTAGGTCTTTCCCTGTTGTGAATGACATATAAAAACAATGTATCTTTTTCCAAAATTTATTCCAGATAGCATAAGTCATTTATCTTTCAGTAAATAAATAAATCTTTCAGAAAGCTCTTAGAATAAACAACTATTATCTTTCTCCACAAAAGTTTTCAGGAATAGTAAAATTAATTTGATGAAGGTAGTAGAATAGCAGAGTTCTGTTAATGTAGACATGTATGTGGATATGGATGGTTTTAATTCTTACTACGTTTTTAAAGCAGATAATAAGGGCCAAAAAAATCTGTTTGATATCAGTGCCTTTGTCTATACTTATGGAATCACTGAATGACTGGAAAATCTCTACCACAATTTGGTACTCTTGTCACTTTTGTACATTAATGTTATCCATGCCTTAATACTATCCAAGCCACTATACCTTTTGTATTGTATCCAGAATCAGAGAGGCAGCTGCAATATCGGGGTGTGTGTGTGTGTGTGTGTGTGTGTGTGTGTGTGTGTGTTTCATGCCCATAGGGAAGATAAGGGTAAAATTTAAAAATATAGGGTGTGTCAGCCAGTGGTTGTCACAATTTATTTATTTATTTATATTCATGCTCTATGATTTTTAATCAACTATGTTCTTAATGTCCACTTTGAAGAGCATAGTAGGTGCTCGATAAGATTAATTGAATGAATAGATTAAGTTTACTCAGGTAGGCCCCAAGCTTTGATTTTAATTACTTGAGCAAACTTGTACAAGTTACAAACCATACCTCATTTTCCTCATCTGTAAAAAATCTGTATTAAAAGAAATCATAAAACCTAAATTGGCTGGGCATGATGGTGCACACCTGTAGTCCCAGCTATTTGGGAGGCTGAGGTAGGATTGCTCGATCCCAGGAGCTTAAGTCTGTTGTGTGCCATGATCACACCTGTGAATAGTCACTGCACTTTAGTCTGAGCAACACAGAAAGACTCTGTCTCTAAATAAATAAATAAATGACTCAGCTATAGCTAGCTTATAAGCCCTCGGTCTATGTTAACTATTATCATATTTAATACTATTACTAAAAAGATTATTGAGGAACACGAAGTTTATCAGCCCTTATTATCTTTCATCTCTGGAGCGTTAGCTGAGAATAATTAATGATTCAGGTTTGTTCCCTAAAGTTGTTTTTCCTCTTCTTGGTAGATTTACAAGTGGTTTAAATCCAAGTCATACTTCAGCTTCATTTTTCTTCTAGTAAAATTTAAAATCCTCTTGCTCTGATGAAATATTTCATGTTAAAGTGATGTCTTATATGTCAACTAAATAGTTATCTAACTAAATGTTAAAATGTTAAAGTTGATTTGTTCATATTTTCTTGGGTTTGTATCTCTATAACTGAAGTTAATTTAATTTCAAGTTCCATTAGAGGATGTTTTAAGTTTGCAAAAACCCAAAATTACAAGGTTTGGTAAAAGTCAGTGTTTTAAACAGGAACACAGTCTGTGATTAACTTGTACTTTCCTTTCTTTATGTTTCTGTTATTTGTCAATACTTTACTTAATTTCTAACAATAATTGTAAAATTAATTGTAATGGTCATAATGGTAATAAAAATAGCAAGAACCATGCTAGCCATATGTTATTTTGAGCTACCTAGTCCTCCAAAATCTAGAAATGTTTCTGTTTAATTTCCTAATCCTAGAGCCTGAATAACCCAAATATGTAATCAAGATTATTCTTAATTCCTGGTACCATATTTCCTATGGTCCCCTTTAATTCTGTACTCATATGTGTGTTTTAATTCACCTACAGCTTGAGATATGAAACTCAGCTCTTTATCGGCTTCCACCAAAACGCATACACACAGAAAGCAATGAAGCAAAAAACTAACAACAACACAAAACTCTCCTAAAGAATAAATGTTTTTAACAGGTGAAATAATAACTCTCATAAAATTACAAACTGAATACTTTTCAAATATTTTATTTAATTTAGTAATTAACGAGAGAACCAGAAATACATTACAACAGGTTCAAAAGTAAATTCAAAGAACCACATATAGCTAGAAAATGAAGAAATGTTGAAACCAATTTACACATAGGTGTAAAATGGGAGTATCCACAGGCAAAAATCATTTGTATTTCATGGAACATAATGAATTTATACTTCTGTGAACAAGAATTTTTTGCACTAATATCAAGTTTCTACATTTTACAAGTTTTAAAAATACCTCAAAGACAATGAAAGGCTTAGATGACTAGGAATGATATGTTGGTTAAGACACCATAATCTTTTTAGATAGTTTCAGTCTTTTATAATTTGTCCTTAAAGTAGCTTCCTTCCCTCTTTTGATCATAAATCTCAAATATAACTCTTGAGCCCCCAAATTTTCAATATTAGGGACACAACATTCATTTTAGTCCATAAGTTTTCACAAGGAATATATTATTGAACTTTTAAAAGCATATTTGATATCCCCAGGCTAGAAAACCAAGTTGAAGAACTACTCTGTAACATTTCATCTGCAATACATATAAATTTACATGTGTTCTTCTCTTCTTGATGCCCACCCCCACAAATCTGTCACAGTTCCAGGACTTCCAGGAGTTCCTTTCTTGACTACCCATAGCCTGGGACTCAATACACCTGCAGTAGATTCATTTCATGGCAGAATTTTGTAGACTTTAGATCCATAATTTGAGTAGACATATCATTAAAAGTATCTTGGTCATATCTGGGTAAATGTAAATTATCCTCAAATATGAAATTCCAGCTAAAACCTTGGTTGCCCAAACATTTGGCCAATTATATCCTGGCAAGTATAAGAACAGATTCTCAAAAAGTCTTAAAAATCTTTGAAATAAATATATTGCTATTTAGAGAAAGTAAAGAGATTTAGAGTCAGAACCAGCAGTGGTCAGCAAGAATGGACCGTATCTAGAAATATTTCACTTCATTTTACAAACACAGAATTTAGTAACTTGTGAGTTGACAGATTGAGAAAAAGAATTTCTTTGTGTAACCAGAAAACAAAATTAACATGAATCACGTTTATTTCAAACACAATAAAATTGTCCTCATTCGTTCTTTCAGTCCTTTGTATTTTAATTCTTGTTCTGCTGGATTTGGGGCAAATAGTCTTATGAAGTCATGTGCTTTTCAGCTAACAACCCTGGAAATTCAGACTCAGTCTATAGCCTGAATGTTTTCTACACACTATCAGCTCTGAAGCACAATTTTTATAAGGGGAAAATATTGATACAGTGTATAGTTTATTTGAAGCTATGTAGTTTATCTACCATGACTATCACGTAAAGAGATACAGTAAGTCTTGAGTACCACTTAGGTATCTGAATTTTTATAAAACTCCGTGGAGTATCATGTGCATCATCAATTAGAACCTAGTTGTCTACAAACAACTAGATTTCATTTTTAAAATTAAAGTTTTGAACAATTAACTATTTAAATAATTAATATGGTTTGGCTCTGTGTCTCCACCCAAATCTCGTAGCTCCCGTAATTCCCACGTGTTGTGGGAGGGGCCCTGGTGGGAGATAACTGAATCATGGGGGCAGGTCTTGTGCTATTCTGGTGATAGTGAATAAATCTCACGAGATCTAATGGTTTTAAAAACAGAATTTCCCTGCACAGGCTTGCTCTCTTTGCCTGCTGTCGTCCCTATAAATGTGACTTATTCCTCCTTGCCTTCTACCATGATCGTGAAGCCTCTCCAGTCATGTGAAACTGTAAGTCTGTTAAACTTCCCTTTCATTTGTAAATTGTCAAATCTCAGGTATGTCTTTATCCACAGCATGAAAACAAACTAATACAATAATAAATTACGATTAGTAAGTCTTTTGCTTTGTCTAACAGCAAATGATCACTGAAACTCTGAAAAATAGAGAAAAACTCAACAAAAATGTTTTATAAAAATTTTGATCACTGCTTCCCTCAGGCTAAAGCACATTATCATGGGTGTGTGGGCTGGAAGGGGGAGTGAATTAAGACTTCTCATAAAATGTGCTTCTTTAGGATAGTACATCATTTTCTTTTTTCTTTTTTTTTTTTTTTGTTTTTTGGAAGGGAAAGAACAAATACTTGTGATTTTCCACAGTTCTACGGAGAAAATTTTAAGCTTCATCTGTAAATGATACTGTGAATTTTCAAAAATATTTTCCCCTACATTTCAAATTCAATTTAGAGAGGCAAAATTAAAGTCATTTGAAAAAATGTAAACATTTGATTAAAATAAGATTATGAGTAATAAGCAATAATTGATTACCCTTAAAAAAGTTTTTTTTTTTTAAAGTAAACAGAGAGATTAAAACAGTTATAAAGAAACTTATTTCTTTTACTAAGGAGGATCACATTTTTTATTCTTAAATAATCAAGCATATAATAAAATCAATATAATAAACCTTATTCTAGTAAAACACAAAATCTGTTTTCTAGACAGATTATACAGGTTAAAAAAAATTCTTTAAAATTCTAGCTAAAGACATTAATCGGTAAACCAAGGAAAGAGGCCCATATAATTTTATCAAACTTTGCTAAGATTTTAACATATTGCATATCTTACTTTCAGACTTTTGTAAACTAAGGCAGACAGATTCACTTTCCATATTTTGTCCTTCATTATATTCTTTTATAGTCTAGAACAAACTGCCACTTTTTTAGATTACAGGAGGTCTTTGTGGTCAAAACTAATTTTATACTCACACTTATGTTAGCTGTGGAAGAAATCTGAATTACCCTCAGTTACTGGAGGCATATCCATATGGGTCTGTAGCAACTTTAGTCCTTGCCTCTTTGGAAGAAAGAATTTGAGGAAACTAAAACAGGAAAAGAAACCAAGGCAAGTTTCAGAGCAGGAGCAGAAGTTTATTTAAAAAGGCTTTATAACAGGAAAGAAAGGAAAGAACCCTTGGAAGATATTCAAGTCGGTGACTGAAGGTCAAAGAGAGAAAAATAAGGGCCTTTAACCTTGATCCTGGGGCTTTGATAGCTCACCTCTTTACCATGATTCTTCCCTGAGGGTGGGTTTTCTGCATGTGCAGTGCTCTCCTCACCCTTTGGAAATGAGCATGTACCGTGTGTTTAGGGATTTACATGGGTGTGTATCTGAGGCTTTCTTCCTTTTTCCAGTGGAATGTACCCAGAAGGTCATACTTCACCAATTTCATCTCTTAACATGCATGCCCAGGAAGTTGCTTCTCCTTGGGACCTGCTTTATTTATTCATTTATTTATTTATTGGTATGTTTTTCTTTTTCTTTTTTTTTTTTAATTATACTTTAAGTTCTAGGGTACATGTGCATAACATACAGGTTTCTTACATATGTATACTTGTGCCATGTTGCTGTGCTGCACCCATCAACTCCTCAGCACCCATCAACTCGTCATTTACATCAGGTATAACTCCCAGTGCAATCCCTCCCCCCTCCCCCCTCCCCATAATAGGCATATTACACATAATAACAGAATATTATACATAACAACACACACATAAACTACAAGATTGTGACACACAATATAAACACATACACATATGACCACATAAACAATATATTGCCTGTGAACAGAGCTTTTAGTTTAAATTAAATCGCCATATTGTCCAAATTATCCAAGCATTTTGTATGCCAGGTAATGCCTAAATATATGGAATGTTTTAAAAGAACATGAGAGTCCTGCCACATGCTATAGATTATAATGACAAAGTCACACGTAATTATCACTTAATACACAGTAACCAAATCATGAATGAACTTCATTCCACAATTGCGTTCAAAGAAGAATAAAATGACTAGGAAACCAACTACAAGGCGATGTAACGGACCATACTTACAAGGAGAACCTACCAAACACTGCCCAGTGAAATAACAAAAAGACAGCAAACAAACTGGAAGAACATACCTCGCTCACTGGATAGCGAGAACCCTATCATGAAATGGCTACGCCCAGTTATTTCAGATTCATCCAGCGTCCCATCAAGTACCAATCGACTTCTCTTCAAGGAATTGCGGAAAAAAACTGCTTTAAAGTTCATATGGAACCAAAAAAGACGCCGCATTGCCAAGACACGACATTCTAAGTCCAAAGAACAAAGCTGGAGACATCACGCTACCTATACACATGGCTATAGTAAACCAAAACAGCATGGTACTGGTACCAAAACAGAGATATAGACCAATGGAACAGAACAGAGTTCTTCAGAATAATACCACACATCTACAGCCATCTGATCTTTGACAAACCTGAGAGAAAAAAGAAGGGGAAGGATTACCTATTTAAATAAATGCGTCTGGAAAAATTGGCTAACCATAATAGTAGAAGTGAAACTGGATCCTTTCCTTACTCACTTATACGAACATTAATTCAGATGGAG